TAACTCCAAAACAAAAGGGGCTACGAAGGTGAACATCCTTCGCATTCATGGCCCCACAGGGGTCCGGTCCCCTCCCGCTGAAATCCTCTGACAAGCGGGGCTTCTCCGCCACGAGCGATGTCGCCATGGGCGGAGCGACAGCAGCGACGGGCAGAGCGGGCAGCGGAGCTGGCGCCAGCGCTGGCGCAGGCAGTGCGACATCCTCGATGTTCAACTCCTGAGAGTGTCGATGATCACAGTGGACCAAGTCCCAATGAGCTACAGTTGCTCAAGTATGCTCAAGTGTTTTTTCATCCACCAGAATGTCCATATCAAACGGAATCAAACTGTTGTAAATCGATCAACATATCATGTCCTCCAATTCAAAACTCTCAAATAACATCTTGCAATGATCTGCCAACAACTTCCCATGAGTCCACTTCTCTCCATCCCTCCATTCACCCTGCGTCTGCCGAGTGCCTCAACATCCATCAGCTTCTTCCGCTCCGTCTTCCGCCGCTTCGCGGCGCGTTCCTCGGCGGCCTTGGCCTCAGCGGCGACCGCCAGCTGCTGCGCGTAGCGCCCCAAGCGGCCGGGGCTCGTCATCTTCGCCACCTCACGCAGCACCCAGGCGCGCGCCTCACAGGCGGGGACCCAGGGGTGCCAGGGTTTGGTGGTGATGAGGGAGGATGAGTTTGAGGATGAGGGTGGGCATTGAGGATGAGGCGATGAGGATGTAAGTCTAAGTAAAGAAGGGCATCTTATAACATCTTTGGTCAAAGACATCCGAAAACATAAACGTCGTGTTTTTTGAAGAAAAAAAAAGGCACCGCGTTTCCGGTGAAAAAGAAGAAACGCCGGAAGAAGCCGCGTGTGTGTTGGAACCCACCGCGCTCGGGAACCCACGGCACCGCTCCTGTGCAGCTCCACGGCGACCACAGCGTTTGCACTTGCAGCCATAGGAACAAACCATGGCAGGCGACTGGTTCTGGCGAAAGACTCTAGAACCAGCTTAAGCTAACCTGGATGATTGGGGCGGCATGACTGGAAGAAACCGGCTGCGACGCGAAAGAGAGAGCGACCGTCCAGTGGTTTCTCGGTCAAACAGAAGGGCTGTATATTATATCAGCATGGAGCTGACTGTATACTTGAAGGGGTCCTTAGATGTGAAAGTGCGACCGCACATCTGAAGTAAAGGAATTCCTAGCTTTAGACCGTTTTTCGGAGGACTTTTTGCTCGGTTTCGAAGAAGACACAATGAACACGAGACACACTCCGCTTAAGTTACTTCTGTCAGCACACGGCTGAATACAAGGGACTTTGGAGTTCATAGTTGCTGGGATTCCTTTCCGTTGCCGGCTTTGTCAAACATGGATGTCCTGCCAAAGACTGACTTCCCTTATTGCAGTTTACTCTCACATGTGGCCTATCTTTGCACATTCTGCTGCTGCAAGTTTGTTGAGGTGAGGGGTGGGGCCAAATGGCCTGTTGAAGCAGCGGGTAATGCACAAGTAAGCAAAGTAGCCAAAGCTTCTCAGAAGTCACAGCAGTAGCGTTTCATTCTCCGTCATGGTTAAATGAAAACCACCTGATGATTCTACAAAGAACGACATGCCGCGTGGCCTGAACTGCCAGCAATGCCCTCCGGCGCAAACCGGAAATGTCCAGAATAGCTACCGCCTTGCTTTTGCGGTTCAAGGCAGTATGGTTGAGTGAGGACAATGCGGCAAGCATCGAATCAGAAGAATGATCACTATCACACTGATCAGTTCATCTTGGACATAGCACACTAGAACCTCCCATGTCTTTTCATCAGCCGGTCACTTCTATCACTGGATAGTTGAACATCCTGCAATCAAGTCATCTTGATCTGCACGCTCTTCTGATTCACAAAGCATTTAGTTGAGTTCAAGAGATCTAACATCTTCCGGCATCGTCCAAACTGAGCGGATCCGGCCAGTGCTGCAGCTTGGAAAATCACCAACAAAGCATAGCCTCAGACCCGCAAAAGCTGCGGTCGGGCCCGCTAGTGGGGTTCATCTAAAGGAGTTTCAGTTTCACCGGTTTTCGGCAGAAACGATACGAACTAAAAACCGTGCTCTTGGAAGCCAATGAAACTTCACAGGGTTTCATGATGTTCCCATGACCCGGCAGAAAGCTCAACTCTTAGCTGTTGCTGGTTGAAGCAGTTGAATATAGCTGAATGATGCTGAAGGTCAAAATCATTGGTAATGCGCACCTAGGATTAAGTAACCCCCTATTTATTAATCAAGCCCAGCTCGAGCCCCCAACACTAAACTAATTTAAAACCTGAATTCCACATGTACATCACCCCAATAACTATTCTTCCTAGCAGAAACCTCCCCCTATTGATCAAGCCCAGCTCCCCCAGATAATGAGCAATATTAGTATTATAGTTAGGTATTATTTACTTTCTGTTTGAGCAGTAATATATATATATATATATCTTCTGGTCCACTGCTTCTTATCCTCCTTCTGCTTCATTCTCATCCATCATTATCATCCTCCTTCTGCTTCTCATCCTACTTTTCTCATCCGTCCCTGTTAAAAACCAAAAAAACTCGCTAGCAAAATTCGTTCATTTCCCCTTATTAAAACTCTATCAACATCTTAAGGTGTTAACGTTCAAGCTCACAAAGGGTACCCCTCACACAGGGCCTACCACCCTCTAATAGTAGGGGCCCCTCCCCCCTATTAATCAAGCCCATCCTCTGGCCTCCATCTTGTTTTCCATCTCTTTCATCCTGCAATCCTCTTCTTTTCCCAATCATCCCAATCCCAATCTTTCCTAATCTTGTCATCATCTCATGATCCATCATCAGGTCATAACCTTTATTGAGGGGATGTGGTCTCTAATCCCTCCAATCCCAAACCTTGTTGACCTTGTTGACCTTGAAGCATGCGGGTTGATTAATCCTACATCGACATTTCTGGCTTGACTGACAAACCTGTTTTCGTTCGTGTTCGTATCTCTAAATCATCCGGGTAAAGAATCTGCAATGATTGTGCTGTGGCGACATTAGACCACCTCGACACAAGTCATCTGGCCACCGTTCTTTCTTTCGCAAACAAAACCAAAGCCTCGGCGCCCATGGTCTTTGAAATGTTTGGTTCTGGACACTATAATGCTTTCTTGCAAAATCTCTCAGCATCTTGCCACAACTGGGCGATCTGTTTTCCACCAGTGTGTGGACCTCAACACCGACGAAGGCAGCTGACACATCGAGTTTCGGCAGGCCTGGGGGGGCTGGGTTTCGGCGAGCCCAATGGCTGTGAGGCAAAACGCAACTACTCAAAGCGGTGTTTGTTTGTCCACAATACCCAAACACTCCATGGGACTGCCATAGGACTGCCGATCAGGCCAGGGGTGGTTGACTGGGGCTCAATTGATCGGCAGTCCTATGGCAGTCCCATGGTAGTTGTGTCTGGGATCGTGTCTGTATAGTCAGGAGCCTGAGCACCACACAATGGCATAGTACGTCAGGCCCTGCAGAATCTGGTTGACGCCCAATGCCATGCAAACCTCGAAGGTCTTCAGGGCTCGAGCATGCGAAGGCGACGGTCTTCCGGTCTTCCGTCCCCAAGAGAAAACGCCCCAGACATCTCAAGACTGTGGCTTTTCATGTCAAGACGAGCTTCATGACATGCTGTGTTCGCTTGCTGGCCCAACTGCACCGAACCAAAACGACTATGGACCACACGCGGCAGTAGGCGTCGTAACACTGCCACTTGGCCTGATGGACTTCGACAGTCCACGATTCCGTCGGTCGAATCAAGGCAAGTGACCTTCTATACATGCGCCCCACAACTTGCGTCCTGATTGTGGGATTCCATAGGCCATAAGTGTCTGAGGAAAGGCTGTTCCGACGCGTTCTAAAATCTATCAGATGCTTTCCATCCGCACTTCTCTCAAATGAAATGTGCTTGAACGTGCCTGTAACCGCCGGAAGAGTTGCACATGCAGGCCAGGCATCGCCTGCAGGCTAAGTTGGAGCCAACAGCCTCCAAAAACATTTCAACAAAGAGCCAAATTTCATATCCCCAGGGGTGCTTTGAAGGCAAATTGAACACACCCCTAACAAACTAGCAGCCACAACATGCAAATATGCATACTGTATATAATATACGCAAATCAAATTATTTATTGTTATTCGTTTTCCTCCTTGCATCTTGGCGAAGTCCACCGTTGGGCGAACCATTCTCCAGGTCCCCCGGCCGCCGGCCGCAGCATCGCCTCCTCGCCGGAGAAGGGCGCCTGGTGCCCGAGCTTTCGCTCTTCGGTCGAGAAGGATCGACTGGTCTGAAAGATGAATTCAACGGTCCCGAAAGATATTGAGGGACTATGATACCCTGGGAGTCCAGTCGACCATCAAAAGAATGGTCGGACGAACGGTGACCCGAGCGGAATTTCCTGAAAACTTCAGTCGGTCGGACTTCGCTCCGACGCTGTGGCGTCGTCACGGGACGCGTTTGACACCGCACCGCGTTTGACACGGCACGTTGCCTCTCCACTGCCCAAGCAATGTGTCCTGGCCAGCCATGAATGGTACCGAGCCTAAAGGCCATTGAATTCACATCGAGCGGGGAAGGTTACCAATCTGGGGTGTGGTACTGGTATGGTCATGGTGGGCTGGTACTGTTTTGTTGAGATCGTGTTTTCTGGGTTCTTGCAGGCTTCTGAAGTCCTAATGTCCGAGAAGCGACTGCCTTCAAGTTGATCGGTGCAACATGCGCGACTGCCTTCCCGTGGTTTCATGGGTGCAAACCCTTCGCGTCGAGACTTATGGAGGCAGAAACCGGCAGCAAACACTCCTCACATCGGATCCCCAAGCTGTAGAACTGGTAGAACTTCTCACAAAACCCATGGTTAAAACCCAAACCAGGTCAAACCAGGTCATTTCCCCAAGATGTCCTTAACTCAGGTGAATGGTTTTTTCATGGTCTCCACACACCGTCCTCGTGAAACACCTCGTTCGCTCGAAAGGTGCGCCGCGGCACCGCAGTCCTCGCGGCTTCTTCCGCCTCTGAGACGACCGGCGCCTGCTGGACCCGGACCCGAGGTCGAGGAGACCGGCAGCGGAGGGGGGGGAGGGTCGGCTCACCAACTGGTGCACATCAAGACCCCCTTGTGTCCAATTGGTTGAAAAGGAATTGCATCGATTTCAAGGCCGACTTCTGGACAGTGGATCTTCATCCATTTCAAGTTTGAATGGCTTGATTACGTGGTTTCAGATCACGCCCAATCAAGGTGTTGTTCAAGATTAAATAGATCTGATGTGGCTTATCTACCTGGATCTTTATATAGCTGTTTGACTCATCTCCAAGATCTGTCTTGGCCTCGGTGCCATCTGCCGCAGCAGTCGCTCCACCGTTGCTGGGCGCGGGTTCTGGAAGCGGCGTCGCCACTGGCAAAGCAGGTGCGGCATGGGAAGCATGGGAGGTCTTTAGCTGAATGTGCTCTGCTGTTTGGCTGTCTTCAATCACCTTCAGTTGTCAGTGACAAGGTGCATGTTGACAAGCTTCCATTGTAAGAAACACGAGACGGTGGTCTGACTATATAGATCTCATGCAAGGGACTGCCCAGTATGGCACAACTTTTCTCGAGCGAAGGGACTTACTTACGGACCACCCCACATGTCCAATGTGCCAATATTCGAGAACCAGAAACTGAATGGTTTGAATCACACGCTCGAAACAAGAAATCAGCCAAAGCTATGGGTCTTCCTGAACATGTCCCTGCCATTTCCTCCCACGCGCTCCCACAAGCGCCGTGAGCAGCCTGGTGGAGCTGCTTCTGCAGCCGGTGCCGGGGCCAAGGCCATCGGTGGTGCGGCCGTGGTCTTTGTGGGATCTCCTGGTCAGTGGTGAGATCACCGGAATTTTGGCATCGGTGGTGCATGTCACACAATAAAGCTTGAATGTTAAACATCGTTTTGCATCCACCAGGTGTGAAGCTTCAGGATGTGTTTTTTTGACTTTTTCTGTCTGCAGATTGCCGCATGCAGCAAGTGCCATTTGCATTGAACCCGTTCCATTCAATTCTTTGGCTTGTACCCCATCTTGCGCTTGTATTCATACCTCATCAGCCATTTCTGGACAAGTAGCAAAGTCCACTCCTACTGGACTACTGAGAGCTGGAAAAGGACCCCAAGCTACTCTCACGCTGGAAAAGGACCTCAAGCTTGGACAGACGAGACGAGATGAGATGGTAGTCAGCGCAGTCGCCGTCCTTCCTTCTGCTTATCACCTTCGACCTGATCAGGTCGAAACGCTTCGATCTTTATCGAATTAGCTGATGTGACTACAAGTGCCTTAGGAGCTGAGAAGCATGTGTGTGACTACATAGCATCTGCAGCATGAGACCAGGAGACAGATCAATGTTAGAGATTCATTTAATCAATTGGAACCATTTAGAGAAACATCGGGAAACCATCACTTTCCCAAGGCAAACGTGACTGCCATCATACCAAAATATCTCTGCAGGATGAAGCACGTCATCGCAATGATGTCAATCTGTTGCAAGGCATGCTTTCTACAGTGGCCGCTGACATCCCTTCACATCCTTCGAAGTGTTCAGAATTAAACCGGTACCACTCCACTAAACCGCTATAACCCCATCGGCCCCGATAAAACAGAGAAAAAAGACAAGTAGAAGCGCCTTGGGAGCTGTCCAATCGTTGCCCTGATGCAAGACTGGTAGCCTTGGCAGCCGGCAAATTCTCTGCCAAAATGGCCGAACCGAGCAGGTCTCGAAATCGAAACCTGGAATCAAAGCTGGTCTCGAAACCTGGATTCTGATGGATTGATTCTGATGGATTCAAATTGATTCTGGGCTTCTTCTCTGGATCTTTGTTGTTTGACCAAAAGGATTGTGGAGCTTGTGCGCGCCGGTAGAAAGGGCCTCTTTGCTTCCATGACCACATCGCCATAGAGAAACAAACCACATACAAAATACACAAACCACAAGGGCCTCATTGTTTCATCAGACGCCTTCACACGCTTTCACACCCGTCTTCACATGCCTTCACCCGTCTTCACACCCATCTTCAAACCCGTCAAACCTCTGTCACGCCGGCCTCAGCACATTTTCCAAGCCTTGCTTCTCGAAGTCCGCCAGACGGCGACCTCCGATCGATCGATCTCTCTTCTCTCTTCGCTCGAGACCCGGGACCGGCCCCGACGCGAGACCCGCGTCTCCGCGGAGGAGTGCGGGCGCTCGAGCGAGCGACCGGGCGCGATGGGATCGGGGGAGGAGAGCAGTTCGCAGCAGAGGAGGAGCAGTTCGGAGGAAGGAGCAGAGTTCACCTTTGGATTTTGACTAAGACTGCTTCTCCAAGTGGTGGGAATTCATGGATCTGACGCTTTGAAAACGTTCTCAAGCCCCAAAAAAGGAAAAATTCAAAGAAGACCAAAAGGACTGATCAAAGGGTATCTCAGCCCGAAAAGAGAGACGCATGATGTGGCCCGCTCTGGTGCCCACTCAAGGGTGGGACCTCCTGTTTGTCACGCTATGTGGCTATGTGGATTTAACAGGAATCGCTATAGCTTGACTTGCAATTCCATTACAATCAAAGAACCTGTTGGCCAACCTCCTCTGCCAATGTGTGTTGAACGTCTTTCTCCCTTCTCTCCCACCCTCCTCTCTTTTTCTCACCGAGCGGCTTAAGGAAGCGATCTGTTGTGGACTCGGAATGGGAAGACGCACAAACCGTGTTAAGAGTCGAACCTGAGCGCGGCGCACCAACCGTGGTCCGTCGCCAACTGAACTGTGACGTGACGTCGCACGGTTCCACCCCCCCTGGTGGCCACCGCATGGGATGCCGCCTTTCCGCTATTCGAAGAGTTGGATCAGGTGACAGAAACGCGATTTTTCGAAGTCGAAACTTCTTCGCCGGTGGTCTTTGGGACTGGACATGACGACTGTCGTGACGGGTCAGTAGAGGCGCGGAACCTGGCCGCGCGGCGCGGCTTCCGAAAAAGCGTCTGACACCAGGCACCGAACGCCGAAGCTGTGCGAAGCAATGGAGGCATGCATACCTTGGAAAGGTGCGAAGCAAGGGGCGAGGAGGACAGCGAGGAGGACAGCGAGGCAAGAGTGCAGTAAAAAACAATCAAAAAAAACAGCATCTGCAGTTGCTTCAATGCCAGAATTTTTGAGTGAAAAGATGTGAAAGTCTTGTCTGCCTCAGCTGGTTTTGGAGTGGGTACATCCAAATGCATCCGGAAAATGAGATTCTCAAGCGCTCCCCTGGACGGTGTTCCCCAGTTCACGCTGCGTCGCAGCCAGTTCACAGTGGTCGTCATCGAGTCGGACTTTTCCGTCACCAACATTTCTTCGGCCAAGATGCTTAGCCACACAGCGATCAATAAATAAACAAAGGCACAGGCCTGAGCCAGCACTGAAGCATTTGTCAAACATCCAATCTTCTATATGAACGGTTGATTCTATGGTCTGTTGTATTCTGGCCAATGGAGCCCGATGGATTCTGCTTCAGATGGTCCAGGAGGTCTCTCAGGAGGCTGGAGTGAAAACGCAGCAAGCTCACTACTCAGGGTCATGCGTTTGACAGCAGGAAAAGCGCCAATATGAAGGGCGGTGCATTCGCCTGGGCAACACGTCTTCGAGTGCCAAGGCAAGATCCGGGATCCGGCACGGCAAGATGCGGCAAGATGCGTCTAAAGCATCAAGTTTGCTCGAAAAGAACCATCCAACATCTAAATTCCCATTAGGCAATTGCAGCAAACCTGCAGTCTGAATCGTAGCAACGCGCAGCTTCGCAACATGTACTGCTTAGTCAAGTGCTTTGCCCAATCCATGCTTCGGCTACAAATATGACCAAACAAAAAGCCTACAACCCCGCACAAGTCATTGTGCCTGCACTCTGCCTTCACAGAAGAATGTGACGCAAAACCTGTCATGAAAGAGTCAAGGTGTCCACAAATGCGCCATTCCAAAAGTCCATCATCACAGAAATTCATTGCTTTTTCAACGCAAGAATCACCCGACCCATACCCGACCACAGGGTTTATATGATGGGTATCTTGTGAGCCACACCCAGTAGAGCTCTGGATCCACACAGCACTTCATTGTGCTTTCAATCATCCTCTCATCTCCATACTAAACATCCAAGCATCGACAGCAAACACATTGCAAGAAGGCCCACCTTGAGGAAGTTCGAGTGGTTTCATAGATTTCATAGATGATACTACTGTTTAGCCAAAATTGGCGAAGCCAAGCAAATGGACCCATATATAGCCAAACCATCTTACTGTACCAGTTTCTCTTCGAAGACTCGTTTCAGCAAAACTTGTAACTCTTGCCAGCAGTGCTCCAGAAATAACGCACCAACCAGATGGTAAACGTCCATTCCTCAGACGTATCACGTGCATCGCGGCGGTCATCGCGACGGTCAACGGAATCCCAATTCCTCCATGCACTGCGAAGCGGGTCACAAGTCGCAAGCAGCAATGCTTCTGAAGGCAACCGGAGTAAGTCACCATGAAGTCAGGAAACTTCTCGACACGAAGACTTTCGCTGTGGGGGTCGAAAAAGAACACGCCAAAGTCTTCGTGTGGGACGTCTCTATCGGAACAAGCCCTCGAACCAAAAAGCCGCGGCAATGGGCTTAGCTGGGCTTCCCCAGCGACCCACGGTCAATTCCACCAGATCTCTCACATCTTCTCGAAAGAGCTCGAAGCGCTTCACCTGCCACGAAACCCACCGTGTCCCGCGGAAGGCACCGGCACGAGAAGGGAGCAGCATGTTCCGGCCATGCGTGAGGCATGTGTGAGGCATGTGAGGTGCGAAGTCTGGAAGATGCTTTGTTGTGAGGTGCGTGTTGAGCTTGACGAATGTCACCAGGTCGTTGCGTCAGGGCAAGAAACAAAATAAACTTGATTTGGTCAACCAGTCACCAAAGGAGTCAACCAGTTTTGAACCCAAGTTAAGGGTCGACTGTGATCCAAATCCAGTTGTATTCACAGATAATCCTCCACCTGCCAAGCTGCTTGAGCACACAACCAGCAAATTCAGGGGGATGTGGATATTATTCTGCGGAAAAGACATAAATGAGAATACACAAACATTACAATAAGGGATTCTGAAGAAGAATGTCTTATCAACACAGACTCAGGAACTGGGTGTGTCTCAACTTCAAATCCCCGAAGCAAACATCGGTTGGTTTACCAATCTTACAAATTGGGTGTCCGTTCATGACAAGCAGACACAAAAATCCGTTGTTGCCTTCACAACCTTGGCGCCTCTACATCTTGACAACTTCGGCCATCACCAAATCTGCACCCTTTTCAGAGCTCCCACAACTCCGCCTGCATCTCTAGGCGCAACATCTCTCGCTCCAATCGTTGATCCTTGGCCAATCTGTGACTCCCGCCACTGCTCTCGGCATGTCCCTTCTTCTGACATTAAGACAAAGACAGTGACATAACCACCAAATACCACCAAAACACCAAAAGAACATCAGTGTTACTGTACATTGCTTTATCTACGCAGCTGCTGATTTAGTGATCATGTCGAACCAGCTTTCTCTCCACAGTCGACCAATGTGATTTCTGTGAGTCATGTAACATCAATGTGACCCAGCACCACAAGGTGCCAAGGGGAACTATCAGCCTAGCTTAGCTTGGTGCGCATGCAAAAAGCTACCTGCCTTGCATACTCTACTGAACTAGTAGAGAAGCCAACATCATTGTTGGACACAAGACCAATGATGCCAATGATCAAGAAGATATGGCAGTGAGCCAAAACCGGGTGACCTGGTTGATCACCGAAAATGAATAGATTACCAGGTCAACCTACTAGGGTTTGAAGCTCCAGGTTTTGACCTGCCATATCAACCTACACGCGAGGTCGGTCGAAATCGCCTGGTCGAACTTGTAGCTTTCCCGGTTGTAGGAAAAAAGCTCCTGGAATCTGAGAGTGGAGTGTTCGGCGCAGAGAGGAAGGAAGCGCGCCTGGGCGGCGCCTGGCTGGAAGTGGGTGTGAAACTTTGTTGAGACACCCGGAAGTCAACAAGGAGGATGTTGCAACTCATGACAAACATCGGGCGTCTACAAACCTTCACCGGCCTTAACCTTCCTCAACGGCCAATGGTTTTCTGGAAACTACAAGTCAAGGTTCCTATCCTCTCTATTATCAGTCCCAGCCACCCTACCTCCCCAGGCTCTATATGGCACAAAGTGAGGTCTAAAGAGGCTAAGATCGGATTATCCGTGCTAAATATATCACCCTGCAGCGGTTTGATGCTCCTTGGCCCCGAGGCCAATGGCTGCAAGGATCTCGACCATGATGTGGATCTATCTGCACAGTGGTGTTCAGAGGACTCTCGCAACTCATCAAAACCCATGATGCCATTCATTTGGGATCTCTCAATTTTCATTGTTCAAACATTGTTTATACTTTTCTATGTCACACGCCATGCTCCATGCAGTCCATGCTCTTCGTACATCTGTTGGCTCAAAAGGTAAAAAGAAATGGAGCACCACGGCACCACCGTGTCACCAGGCCTAAAACGGGATCCACAAGAATGGATCCCTTGAAGGCTACAAGCAAGGCTGTCTTGCAGAGAGACAATGTGATGGCTGTCTTGAAGGTGGTGCTCGGAGGATTAGATTGATGTGAGAGATGCGGCTAATTACTGTAGATGCATTAGATCTGGTTGATTTACATAGTTTCAGGTCTGCAAAATGTGCCATCGACAGCTGTTGCCATCCACAGCGCCACTATTCCTGCATCGATGCTGAACAATGTTGCCTCTGTGGCGCTGCATTCTTAAATATTCTTAAGGGACAAAGGCTGGCCGGGCTAAACTCTTCACATCAAAAACTCAATAAATGTGAGAACAGTGGCACTCACACACACACAATCTCCTGTACTGTTTCCTAGCCAGCAAGGCAAACTCTGATGAAAGAACTGTGCTGATATAGAAATCACAACAACAAATATCATTACGGAGGGGGGACACAGCAGTCCATGTGGAGTGCGTACTCCACAAGAAACAAATAACACATGATAACGCCATCAAATACCGGGCACAACAATGCGAATATAGAAATCTGTCTGACCAGGTTGACCTTGGAGGGAACTCTACCAGTGCATCCCCTTACCTTCCAGATAAACCTTCCCACGGTGTGCTCTTTTTCACGAAGCCAAACGAAGCCGACATTCCGTGAGGGATGCTCGCTAGATCTCAGGGTGGGCCATCCACAGCGTCCTGATGTAGAGATCAGGGTGGGCCTATACCCAGGCTGGCAATTCTATACCTGGTGTCATCCAATCGGTAAAATTGGCACCTTTGGGAATCCTTCCAACATGTGATTCGGCTGGCGATGGGAAGGCCGCCACCAGCCGCTTGGCCACCAACCCGTACCCACGGTGGGGTTAATCGGGACCGGTCATCTCTTTGAGTGGTTGAAGAGTCCAACACTGAGTCCAACATCACGTGGTGATGTAACTCATGTCAGACTGTCTGCTTAGTTCGCACGGATCAAAAAAGAACCTGCGAACCTGCGAAACTCGCTCGATAGATCCCTGGAGACTATAATGTAGACTCTTGATTAATAACCCCCTTCATTTGAATTGAAACACCTTTCCATATATGGGGGGGTTATTAATCTCAGACCCTAAAGCTCGAAGCTCACATGCCAAGACTCCATCCGAGGGATCTGAAGAAGAAGGGCTCAGCCAGCCTATTTTGTCCGTCAAACAGCCAGTGTGCAATGGGACGATTCCTGGCACCTGCCAGTTGCAACCAACAAAACCTGTTGAGAAAAAACAAAACAGCACAAGAAGACCGCACGTCTCAACTGAGGAATACCAACGAGCGCTGCTGTGAAACTGCTAGCTTCTCAATTGTGTGAGTTGTTGTTTCGGTCAATGAGACCGATGGCTTGCAGATGCCTCCTGAGTGTTTCAGGAGTCACCGCTTTCTTGAAACACCCCCATCCGTGGCTTATTCGTGGCAACCTGCCCAAAGCAATCGGCCTGACTGACGCAGTGGCCACTGACCATGGACAGCAGGAAACACCTGGCATGAATGGCCCGTGCATAGCGCGCCATTCATATGTGGGGAGGCCTTTAGAGGCTTGGGAACGCCGATGCCCAAGGTCTTCCTCACAAGGCTTGTTGCGGCAAGGCTTGTTGTGGCAAGGCTGCTGGTTCGGGAAAGTCCTCCAAAGGGGATTACCTCAGTTGCTCTCGGACAAAACCTAATTGACTCAATTCTCGCTGCGGCAACACGTTGCTGGCGCGGTCTTTTCGTGCGATCACACGGTCATGATGCCATCGAAAGGCCCCTGTACTGGCTCGCGATGGATGCATGATGCCCCGGTAATCTCATTGCATCATTATAATATCTTTAACACTACACCTCCACCTGCTTCTGGCCAGTCAATAGCAGAATCCAGTCGCAGCTCAACAATTTGCTGCCCTATCATGAAGCCAGTACAGCAACAAATCCTTTGATGTGTTGAGGCTTTCCAACCGCATGTTGAGAGGAGGACATGAGTCATCTTCGTGATGGTGCAAACTTGTTGTCTGCCTTCAATCATCTCTACAGAGTCAGAGCTTTCTGCAAGCATGAACGCTCATGAAACTCCTCTCGTGTTGCACAACAATGCAGAATGGCTGAACCAGAAGTGCTAGATGGTTCTTCTCATTGGATTTCATGCAGTAGGTTGAGGCAAAGGCAGTTCAATAGTTGTTTCTGAAACATGCAAGCTCTCCGTGGTATTTATGAAACTACGTAGCGCACTGAGAGTTCATGTAGCAGCAAGAATCTATGAATGTTGTCTTTCTCTCTGCACCAGGGAGAGCACTGAACCGAAAAAACCAAGCACCTCTGGTTGAGCCAGTCCACATGTGAACGCGGGGCATTAACTCGCCAGCGCCAACGAGGCATGTCTTGTTTCGTTCGTCTCTCTGGTAGAAAGGGATAAGATCTAAGAAGACAGGGAGAAGAAGGAGAAAGGAAGAAAAGGAGAGGGAGAGAGAGAGAGAGAGGGAGAGAATAATTAAGGAGAAAGGGATAAGATCGGATAGGAAAGGAAGGACGGCACGAAAAAAGAGAAGGGAACAGAACACGACGAGAAAGGGAGAGGGAGAACGAGAACCGTCTCCGCAGTCTCCGCGGGTTGGCGGCTAATCGTTCTCCGTTTTACTGACTCCGCATGGGTGAGGCGAGGAGATGACCAGAGAGAGGAGGAGAGCAACCAGCTGCTGGCAAAGTACTTTGTTCACCCAAACCAGTCCCAAAACCAGTAGCTTCTTGCTCCTACTAGTAGTAGTAATGCCAGGAGCGCCCCGTTCGTCGCGTGCGAACGCCGTTTCCGTTTGATCTGCCCTTTAGCTACTTCACCGTTCGTAGTAGCGATGCCCGGAGCATCCGATCTCCGAAGTGCTGAAACAGGGGAGCCAAATGAACCACCGGATAGCTTCTGACTTCTGACTTAAGCTCGATCTCGCAAGCGCGGCATGTCCCTAAACCCTAAACCCTCACATCTGCGCCAGGGCTTATGGCGAACTGTACCTTAAGTAGGAAGTTTGAGGTTCCAATGCCGTGCCAATGCTTGAATGCCAAAATCAATCACAAAGCCCGAGGGACGATTAGTATTAGATTGCAAATGTCTCGAAAACGGTGAGTGCTCACATCATGCAGTCATTCCGTCCCAACACGTGACGTGAAGCAAAAAAACGACCGAATCTATATACAAACATGTATATATAATCAATGTATAGGCCTAGGTATAGAGATGTTCCCTTCATCACCTTTCCATCTTCCCAACCCCAAACCACGTTGCTTCTTCCGCACGAAGGTGAGCTCCCGCTCCAGCTGCCCTTGATCCCTCCAGAGCTGCCGCGCCACCGCGCGGCGCCGCAGAAGCAAACGCGCGCGCCGCAGCGCCGCCGCGCGGTGGCGCCACGTAGCGAAGGTCAAGCGCAGCAGCGGCGTGGCGTAGGGACGCTTGGCCTCGCAGAGGCAGGGCGAGGCGAAACGATGGGACCACGGTGGAGCTGGTGGGGCCTGCTGGGAGACCGGTGGAGCGAGGATAGGATTTGGGTGCCTCTTTGGGGTAGGAATGGTAGAGACGACCGGTAGGAGATGAGTCAGTCATTTTTGGAGCATTGGACGGAGTCAGTCATGGTAAAAGTGGCTCGTCAAGCCGTTCGAATATGGCTGAAGCACATCAGTGCAGACTGGCAACGTCATGGCGTCTTGTTTTGAACCTGGGAGGAATAGCATCAGCTGTCCACTGTCCACATGATCTGCACCACTCAGCAAACTTAGTAGTGCTTATGCAAAGCCCAACCGACAAACAAAAACAGGTCCTACTAAACAAATTTCTCCAAAATAGAACCTCATCTCCTAAATATGTAATCCACCTGGCTTGCAATCGCAGGGCTTGGTACTCGCCCTGCATCCACGCGCCACGTGCGCGCGCAGCGCGCCACACGGCCGCCGCCGGCTCCGCCGGTGCCTTGCGCAGCTCGGCCGCCTTCGTCCTCCAAACGGTCCAGGTCACGTGGAGCAGCAGCCGCCAATAGCGGCAGCGCCGAGAGGGGAAGCCCAACTGAGGCCTGCGAGGCGTGGCGTTGGCGTATTTCTGTTGGTGGAGTCTCTGGCAGAACTTGGCAGCTGCGGAGACTTGTTGGTATGTTCTTCAAGGTAAATCTGAGGATTCAGTGATGTTTCAAAGTTCTGACTTGGCACTTTTGCTTTGGAATAAATGAAGAAATGTCGTTGCTGCAGCGTTCTGCATGCAAACAATGTTAAAAACACCTGTCCCCAAACTCCGAGGATCATCAGCTCCGAGCCTCGGGATATTCAGCTTCACATTCGACAGGTTCTCTTGAAGCCTCAGCAAACCCCCTTGACTCAAGCGAACGGCAGAATCTATGTGAAAAAGCGTTCCAGAAAGGTATGATCACAAATTGTTTGATGATTTTGTATCTATTCCAGCCTCCAACTAACCATCATCCAACCATTGCTGGTACAATCTCTCAAACCCTTTTGCATCTCATCTGTCTTCAAGCTGTTCAACATCTCATTTCTGTCTTCGCTCTTAAGTTTTCCAAAAAGAAAAACGATCCACGTCGGGATGTTGGTGAGCACACTTGTCGTTTCTCGTTCTCTTCAGGATCCAACTCGGGACGCAGACACCTGCATCTGCCTGTTACTGCCTGTTCCGAAGAATCAACTCGTCCTTTCTCGGCCAGGGAACAATCTGCTCAAGTCCACCAGTTGCACCTGACCGGCCGTGTAATCGCCGCTTCGCCACGGGCTACGTCCGGAACATCACCGGCGGCTTCTGATGCGACACTCTTATTCCCTAAGGCTCCAAGTACCTTCTCAGAAGGTGTTTGGGGTGGGTTTGGAGGGTCCAAACACCTTCTGAGGAGGTACTTGGAGCCCTAGGGATTATAGACACTGGTGGAGGGGTCTGAGCCTTTCATGGCCAGTTGCGTTCGCGTTTACGTTGACGATTTATGGAAGACACTCTCTAGCAGAGAGTCTGGCTCTTTTGCCAGAAGGTGTCACGTTTTGACACTGTAACTCTACAATCGATCTACAGTCGGATGGGTCAGCAATGCGTCGGCCGAAGATCTCCACCACTCGGACACTCCCAAAAAGGTGAAGAGAACACTCTTTTCCCATGCCGGATGTTCTTCCATCCCTTTAGATAGGGAATCCACGAATTCAAGGGGTTCACACCCCGGCACTCCATTGGTTGATGGCTTTCTAACGGACCTCTGCATCACTACACCGCGGCCTGCAGAGCTGCCAGACCCGTGGCGGTGATCTCCGGACAAAGCCGCAGCAAGTGGACGTCAAACGCGCCCAGAGCCTTCACACAGCGCTGCAGCTGCCCTTGGGCTGTGGACGCCTCAGATTTTGGTTGGAACTGTGCTTTGTCATGTGGGGAAGGTGAAGAAATATCTGAAGAATACTGATCTGCCTATTTGAAAAATCGTGATCTTCCCATCCTGACCATTCAGACCCAAACAACCAGGACATGGTTGACATGGCACCAGTTTTACCGTCTCATCGGGTCTAAGTTTGGCAGCTCATCGTCGTTGCCATGGATCATCATGGATCGTCATCTGGATCATAGTTCTGCTGACAGAGAGGCAGTGGGTACGTCATTCAGGTGCAGTATCCCAAACCGACAAAAAATGCACATGATCTCCTGTGTATCATCCACCTGAGTCACAGAAAACCCCAGCCACACGGCCGACAATACGGCCGCCATACGCGCTCCAACACGCTCCGAGGATCTGAAAGCTCCATGGCGCCCAAATGCCATGCTGCGAAGCAGCTCCAAACCTCTCTGCCGAAGAACGGCAGGCGACGGCACCAGGAAGGAAAGGGGAACGAAAAAAACGAAAGGAAGACGCGGGAGTCTTGGAGTGTTGTAGCAGCTCACATAGAGCGTAAATCAATGATCGATCTGTTTGGGATTGAAGACAGTTCTAATGTTGGATCTGAAGATGGATAAACCTGTGGAGATGGAGTCGAACATCTTGGGGCCAACATTGATCCAATCAGGATCCAACATTGATCGCCCCAGCATCCATGTGGAAAGCAACCTTGGAAGGGCCAAATAAATTGATTCGTTTGTGAGAAAAACATCGAAAAGAAGTCCAGTCCAATTGAGGGCCCTCATCCCAGCCTCTGCGCTGCAAACAAATCTTGTTCGTGGGAATTGCGCATCCGTTCCCAGAATCATTACTCATCTGAATTGGTTCCAACCCCACTCCTCTCATTGAGATGATAACCAAGGCGCAGCTCGGGATGCTAAGGCTTCTTGCATCATCAGCCGCCGCCCGCAGCTCCAGCGTGGTAGCTGTCGCTGGCGCGCCAGAACCGCCCAGCCTCAGCTCCGACCATCCGAACCCGAGTTCAGATGGATCTGTCTTCTCCGGGCTGTGAAGCCAAATCAAGTCCTCTAGCAAAGAATCCTATCTTTCTGTAATCCGTCGTTCTTAGCTCCTGTGAAGGCACAAGTGAAGGCACATTTCAAATGCAAAGGCATCCTGGTAGACTCTGAGGAAGGTCTTATCATTGTAGTTCCAAGATTCCATGTACAGCTGAGTCATCAATTCTGTAAGCTGAGTCTGTTGAGTAGGACTATGCCAAAGTGCGAACCAAGGCCAAAGAAAGCCAATGCCTGACAGCTCTTGCCATGAAATTTGGGACAAGCATGGGCTTTGCAGTCATCAACGTCGTGGCTCAATGGCAGGTCATTCATGCCTCGTGCACTTCGTCTTCACACACTTCCCCCTAGGCCCTACACCCCAGGAGCGACGGCATCTTCCGAAACTGGGATCCCAGATAATAAGGGGATCATTCGATACCTCTTTCGCCGGAAAAAGAACGCTTAAGATGCGACTCTGCGAGTTCGTTCTGGCGCCTCATGGCCAGTGGCAGCAGTGCTGTGTCGCACCAGGCACGTCCATGACGCCAGAGACGCCAACAGCCGCGAAGGACTCGATGACCTGAAAGATTATCGGTAGCGGCGACCAGGTCGAAACGGTGGAGCAGTTCGTGGAGCAGGTCGATGAAACAAAGAATCATCTTGAATGACCTATACCGAAACGAAACCCAAACATGTTGAAAGTCTATCTGGTATTTGGGAGGCCCCTGATTGAGAGGAGAGTTTGGGAGGATATGCTGCCTACAGTACATGATACATTTCTTTCACAAAACACCCACGTGCTTTTCGTTCGTGAACGACGGCACCCACCTCGCGCGAGTCCCGGCGCCCACCTCGCGCTGCCAGTCCCAGAGTCCCCAGACGTCGCGACCGGCGCCGGTCCACGCGCCGAGCTGCACTCGAAAGCCTTGACTTTGCCATCCAACTCTTCAATGGCCAAGTGTAACTTCACTGTCTCGTCCCTGGCGTGATGTTCAGACCAGACCAGCACATAAGCTTGGTGCTTCTGATATCTTCTGATCAGTGTTCTTATCTTGTAAATGAAGATTTCAGCTCTCGAGACCCTGGTTAGTTTCACCTACATCCCCCAAAAACTGGGGCTTTTGGCAGGATTTGGCAGGGGTGACATAGCCAGAACATGGTCCATTTTTTAGTGAAGCAGAGATCGTCCAACATCATCCAACACAAACAAAGGTCCTGAAGGGCTCGACCATCGACTCAGAAAAAGTGTCAGATTCCTTCTCAGATCGTGAGTCTTGATCCAATTATGTTTTCTTCAATGACGTGTTCTCATTTGTGCATGTGTTTCAGTACTTCATCTTTCAAGAGAAAAGCATTCGTCTGCCTCGACTCGTCTGCCTTCGATACTTTCCACTACTGAGTCACTACGTTTTATCCATTCAGTCCGGTGTTCGCCCGAATGAACGCACCAGTCCGGTGAACCATCACCGCCCTCTTCCACCCTCTTCCATCCACCCTCTTCCACCGGCCGAGCTCCCCGCCTGAGCTCCCCGTAGAGGTTCTTCGCCAACCGGTCATCGCATGCCGCGCGGCGGCGAAGCCAATCGATGGCGCCCAGCTCCAGGCGATCCCTATTGGGACAAAAGAAAACACCAAGCAAATGGTCAAGGAAAGCTCAAATGATTGCACATCGTCATATGTAGTGTTTATTTATGTGCTATGCATTGCTATACTTAATTGTTAACATGCACATGATGCACAGTAACCCATGTTGGCAATGTTCAATTCTTGCATCTTCCACTTCGACCAAGCCGCTTCAGCAGGATCCCCATCCTTCGGCCCCGTGACACCGCCGCTTCCGCCCAGCCGTTGAAGGCCACGCGGCGCAACAAGCGCAGCCAGGGGCTTTGAGCGTCGCGCGCGACGGGCTCTGAACGAGGAAGACGGTGGTGGTGGGGTAGATGATACCTGAGCCAGGACGACCAGACCGGAGAGGGTGAGGTCAAGCCTTGAGCAGTTTTCGGACCAGTCAGGCCTGGTGTGTTTCAAGCTTTCTGGCTACGGGCTTCACATCCGTCCATGTTTCCTCAGAACCTCAGAAGTACTGCCCACGAATCCAGACCTGGATTTCCACACAAGGTCCTTGGATTCCCGCTTGGTGCAGCCCGGCGTACCGTAAGCGCGAGTGATCTGACAAATCGACCGCCACCAAGTACCGCTTGGACTTTCCCAAGCTCCTGGTGTCGGATGGCGTCGTTTTGGGCGTCGTTGAGCACCAAAAGCCGTATCCAGTTTCTTGATAAACCCACCAGCAAGCACTTCACAAACAGAGGCATGTGCCAAGAATACTGATGACTGATGACTACATGAGCGGCGGTCAAAAGGTCGTATAATGGGCGTATGTCGCAAGGATTTGCTTACGCATGCACTTACGCAATGCTTACGCACCTCAGGTTTTATCTCACGCAAGGGAAGGGACTTGTTTGAAGCTTACGCGCTCTTACGCGGAACATAAACTTTAACCCCACCACAGCGGCAGCTTACGCTCAAGTTGTTTTCCAAGGAGAACTTACGCTCCAGAAATGTCAGACAGGGAGGCAGAAAATGAGGAAGAAGACGAATCAGAGGCATCAAGTTCTTGATCACCAGGCTGAGGAGGAGGAGGAGGCACTGTGGGCAAGCAAATATTCACAAACACAAAGTAGGCTTACGCGGAGCTTACGCGGATTATCGCGCAATTATCTCTCTAAAAGTCGCATTGGTGGTTGATAGGCCATGCTCTCTTGCCCTTTGGCCAGTGAACCTTGAGAAGCATAACCGTACCCAATACATGAATACATGAAAATGGTGGTGTTGCTTCTAGTTCCGCCTTTTCGGAACAACAGATTGGCTCTTGAAAAAATGCATTTGACTGCAATTCAGCATCTCCCTGATCAAGGCTACAACTATTCCAAAGATGGTTTTCAACTTTCTCGACTATTTTTTTCGCAACATGTGATCTGCAAAGTCTGCTTACGCGAGCTTACGCAACTCAGTCTTTGGCCTACGCGAGAAAGCCTTATGACAAGGCTCTTTCATGTCACAATTCGGCGGCCATTGACTCCGTTGACCCTTGCTCACATGTGTCACTACACTCCTCACATGATGCTTCACGCCTGCCACATCTCCTAAGTCGGAACAAAAAAAAAGGACTTGCTTCATTACGTGCGTATACCTTCTCATCCGTTTCACCTCAGCGACCCAGGTCCGACCTTCACCACAGACAGCAGTTCGTTCGTGTTCAGGTCCTCCAGCGGTGAAAGGCTGCGACCATGTTGTGCCAATTCGCCACGCTTTGGTATCGCCGCCGCAGCGCGCTGCGAGCGCCCAGGCCTCGGAGAGGTTCTTGGGTTCACCGGTAGAGCGGTAGAGCGAGCGCCGGATTGGGGTGTGACACCCCTTTGAAGATCCACTAAGTAGTGTAGGGATGTGTAGGGTTTGGCACTCCACTTCAAGGTGCTGAGGTGTTGGTTCACCTTTGATGTGTAAAACATTGTAAAACATGTATGACCTAAGTGGGTTGTAGAACTCGTTCATTGGACCGCAGTAAAATGACATCTGCAAAAAAAACATCAAAAAACGAGTGCCTGAGTCCTGAGTACCCACAACTTAAAACACAAAGGGACAGGAGCTTGCACTACCAAAACACCTGAATCGACTCTCCATGCCTAGATTGTCGTTGTCACAGCCGTCTTTCCTTCCAATGCTGCCTAAAGGCATCGCCGACGGCTGGCTGTGAGAAACCATCGCCAAAGTGTGCAACCTCGGCTTTCGTTCCGTCGGCTTGTGGCTGGCAATTTCTTGACAATCCAGAAATCGAAACAAACAGGTTAAACACAAACGACTTGCGCATGGGTTGGCCTATCCTTTGCTCTTGACACAAATAGCTGATGATAGCTTTGTGTCTTTATCCGGGTCCGAAACAAGGAGGACACCTCCAACTCTCAACCAATGGATGTTGATGTTTTTCTAGATCGTCGAATGTTTGAAGAGAGAAAGCCACCGACATCGAATGGTCCAATCGGGTTGACCCAGCAGCTGAGCAGGAAGCGCAGTGTTTTCTGCGCCTTCAGCCAAGCAAAGCGCGCTAGGGCCAAGCGCGTCCGGCGACGGAAGGCTTTGGCACTCCACCGCAAGCTCAACAAATATTCCTCCTCCTTGGATGGAACCTGGCGCAGGCACAAGCAGCGAAGATGCACTATTTGGACATGTCGATGTCAGGACTTGTCGAAGGAATCACTGGGTAAGAGGTCAACAGACCATGAAGTTGAGAGCTGTGTGTCCGCCTGGAAAAAAAACAGAACCTAAACCTAAAGAACAAAAAACATATAAAAACAAAACTAAACTTCAATCATACACTCTCTAAGACTCTAAGACTGGTAATTACTATCCCTGCCTCTGTCTCTTCTCTTTTCTTTCCCTTGATCTCCTCCACCTTGCCAAGCAAGGACATTGCTGGACGTGAACATGAAGGCCTCATCGAACTCTCAGTTCTCTGAGCCCTCAACTTTTTCGACCGTCTCTGTCCATGTTGAGGACGTCTCTGCAACGGCAGTGGTCAGCGGACTGTCCTCACACAATTCCATCCCTAAGTGCTTTGACACCTGGAAAAACTGACGAAAACCACCAACATCTGGGGACATCATCGAAATATATCGAAATGTATCGAAATATCGGATATTATTGTGAAGAGCTAAAGGATTCTGTTTCAAGTGGCTTTTGAACAAACAAGATGTAGATCTTTCAGGTGAAGTGGGTCCTCTGGCGGCGTCTCCTCAACTTCTGTCTCCAAAGGCGGCTGGGGCGGAGCTTCTGTCAGCTTCTCTCCCTTCACGACCCTCAACAAAACGA